AGACTTGTGGACTTCAACTCCCAGAATTCCTCAGCCAGCTGGCTGAGGAATTCTGGGAGTTGAAGTCCACAAGTCTTAAAGTTGCCAAGGTTGGAGACCCCTGATTTAAGGGACTGCCTTTCCTTGATTCCATCCATCAGTCCTACCAGACCTCACAAAACGGATTTGTTATGGGTTCTGTTGTCAAGAGAGCTTTTCTGCTGTGGCTCCTGTATTGTGAAATATTTTTCCAGCTGAGATAAGCTTCTGAAGTTCCCTCAAGACCTAGTTATGCTGGCAGGCCTGGGAACTCCAGGGGAGGGGGTGAGCTCTGGAGGTGGTTCCCTTATTATTAACATAACTCCATCTATTTATTATTCTCTTTTCCTGTTTTAGCTCTGCGTTTACAATTTCAAATTCTTTTTTTATTATTATTATTATATAACATTTAAAGTAATTGTTTTATTTAACTGTTTTTGCTAGGCTGCTGTACACCACCAAGAGTCTCTTTCTATGAAACGGGTAGCTACTTAAATGGGATTAATAAATAAAATAACATGAATAATGAATATTATGAGGACAATTAACTGTATCTCTGTCACAATATCGCCCGTATTTAGAAATCAACAATTTATAGCAAAGTTCTTCCTGCAACAGTTGTCATAATTCTGACATTTCAGGGATAATAAACTCTTGTTTTTGTTTGCAACAACAATGTACTAGTGCAGTGACCTTTGGCCAGAACCTGCAAATTTGAACTTTGTTTAAGTGGATTGCAGTAAAGGGGGGGGAAATGGATAAATGAAGGCAATGTATTTCCGTACTAAATATAATACTAATATATTTCAGAAAGAATCAGTAACTATGTTGGAATCCTGAATATTCTGTTTCACTGTTTTGGACATCTCCAGTAGAAAGGACTACATCAGGAGAATAAAAGAAATCTTCATAGGAAGGGTGTGTTACGTGTAATTGTATATTAGAATGCAGTCTGACATGCTATACATTCTAGATATAACACTTGGAAGAAAAAGAAAGATAAGTTTGGTCATAATAAGCATTTCACTGAGTAACAAAGAACATAGAAAAGAGTTCTATTCAGAGTTTTGCAGCCTTAATTCAGTGCCAGAAAAATAAACACAGATGGCTGATGCTTCATTTAATATCTTTATAAACACAATAAGTAGATTTTACAAACAAGTCGTAGATTTCTCCAACATGGAGCAAACTCAGACAGAAACACCTTGCAAGTTCAGAGAAGAGCTCCAGTCTTCAGCAAGCAAGCAAGTTAGTTTCTTTTTTACTTCAATCTAGCAGGCAAGCAAGAGGAGAGAAGCAGTTTCATTTTCAATAGACAGACTCAGAGCTCAAAATAGCTGCAGAGTTGCAGAGCTTAATATAGAGCCACGCCTAAGCTACTTCTAGTTTCAGTTTCCATATTGTCCTCATTGGCTGATTTAGTTGCTATGCCTATTCATTGGCTGACCTTGTTACTGGAATATGCTCTATTCCAGTTCATGAATATACTCTGACAAGTTCTTTATTGAAAAGGATCCTAGATTGCAATATTGAGGTGTTGTGTATTAATGTGATACATAATGCATTGTGTATCTAGGACCAAACATACTGAATTTTGCATGATCCTTGGGATGATTGCAACTTTATTGTGGGTTAATGTGCACAAAAAAACTGTGGAAAAAATGTGGAGAAATACTGCACATGACTTCTATAATGGCGCATTATAATGGAATGTGCACATATTAACCCGAAGGGACTAGAGAAATGGATGAAAGGAAATGGGAGATATTCAAAGAGATGTGGAACCTATACCTAAGGGTCAAGAGTGCCGCATAGCAATGAAATACACCGAGGGTAGAGAGAGGAAGGGATGAATAAAAGAGAAGGTGTAAATATCAGTATGGCTAAAGCAATATTGTTTAAGCACAACATCCAGACTTAACGATTCTGGAAGCAAGCCAGAAATGGGACTATAACTTATTAAGATGTCTTCTAATAGCTTTTGTAGGCCCAGAGGTATGGCATTTATTTCAACTCTGCTGCTAGTAAAATGGTAATAGTTTCAGGCAAAGGTGTAGACTTAGCAGCAAATTTTTAAAATGATGAACAATAAAAATAAAAGATCCTAGTCATGCTCTGGATTGGATATGCCTCATACTTTTTTTCCTGGCCAAATCTTTTTCTGGTGCCTATATTAACTTTTGAAGATCCCTGCTTGGAACTTGCCTTCTCAAGTTCTATTTCCAAGACTTTAAAAGTACAATTTCAAGTTGTTCCAATGCAAATGAGAGGCATTAAGTAGCTATTGAAAGGAGGTTCTTCTCTCTGATGGCATCCACAAAATGTAATTTTCTCCTTGACAATGTTCATCTAGCATCAATGCTGTGATATATATATATAGCCTTTAAAAAAAAATCCCAGATAATTACATTGAAAAAAAAATCTAAATACACTTTTAAGGTTGTGAGTCTATGACCTTATGATCCTAAAGCAACCTGGAGCTTTAGTTCTCAGTCATGAAGAAGACAATCCAGCATTGATTCCTTCATTATACCATTATATAGTCAATCTTTGCTTTGCCAGTGCTTTCTAAGCTGGCACATTTCAATCTTGGAAGACTGTAAAGGAGGCATACAGAAGAGCTGAGTAAACCAAACTCAACCAAACAATTGGAGACCATTAAATAGCTTGTATGATGTGCTGTCACCAGTGGGGTTTTTTTTATTTTATTTTATATGATTCTCTCTTTTATTAGTTTTATTGTTTTTTTATATGATGTTTTTATATTCTTGTAAGCTGCCTTGAGTCTCCATGTGCGAATAGGCAGCAATATAAATCTCCTAAATAAAAATAAAATAAATGTTAAATTTAAATTTAAATTCTATGTTTGCATGTTAAGCATCTGAATTGGTTTAATTGGTCAATGACTCCAGAAATTTCATTTATGGGATAACACAGCGACCAGCAAGAACAATACTATTGAATGGGTAGCATAAGCATCCATTATATTACATGCATCACATGAAGCCAGTTTGCAATAGTATCCTTCCTTATTCTTCCATTCATACAATGTACTGACTCATCAGCTGGATTGTTCATATTGTAAGAAGAGCTTCTCAAAGCAGCCCAGCAGGAAAATGGGCTGCTGGCTTTAAAAATATGCATATAATCCTGAAAATCAGGAGAAGACAGCATCCTCATTCTGTATCCTGTCCACATGAATTTCTTTTGCACCAGTATAACCTCTGATTATATCAGTATTTCATGCATTTTAAAATACAATAAAAACCTGCATATAGTTAGCAGGGCTAGAAAATGACTGCAAACTATGAGCATTGTTGTCTGAATCATATCCCTGCTGGTGTGTTGGAACAAGAAAGAAAGAAGGAAGGAAGGAAGGAAGGAAGGAAGGGAGGGAGGGAGGGAGGGAGGAAGGAAGGGGAAGGGAAGGGAAGGGAAGGAAAGGAAAGGAAAGGAAAGGAAAGGAAAGGAAAGGAAAGGAAAGGAAAGGAAAGGAAGAAGGAGGGAGGAAAAGGGGAAGAAAGGAAGGAAAGGGAAAGAAGAAGGGAGGAAGGGAGGAAGGGAAGGAAGAAGGAAAGAAAGAAAGGAAAGAAAGAAAAAAGAGAAAGAAAGGAAAGAAAAGAAAGGGAAGAAGGGAGGGAGGAAAGAAAGAAAACGAAATAATGTGCTTCTTTGCAGAATATGGAATATTGCAACAAGAGCTGGCAGTTTCTTCCCCCCTCCTCTCCTCCCTCCCCATCTTTTCTTGCTCTTTTCTTGGCACTTTTAAGCAGGTGAGTGATTGCATTAATTTCTTTCTTTTACCTTTTAGAAAGGCCACCAAATCTTTGCTCTTATCTTCATTGATTTTGCCTTCCAGAGAGGAAAGCGTCCCGCTCACATCTCTCAGGACGAGGGAAATGTTGTCAACCTTCTTCTGTAGCAAAGTCAGTTTCATCTCCTGGCTGCTAATCTGTTCATTCACTTTTTGTGCAACTGCTGGATGGGGGGGAGGGGAGGGGGAGAGAAATGGGGGGGGGGGAAATGCAATAAAAGCAGAAGATATTTACTGCAAGGAAAAAAATGGATCAACACCAAAACAGAATCCACAGCCTGTTGTCAGAAAGAGGGTGAAAAGTTTCTTCAGTCATTCAAGTGAGTTTTCCATTTTGATTTTTGTCATGCACTTCTTACAAGCAACAGTCACTCATAATTGCTGAATGATCCATATTCATTACAAGTTAGTTATCATTCCAGGAGAGTCTATTGAATAGTTCACAGAAATTTAATGAGCATAAGTGAAGTCTTTGTCTACCTAGTCAATTTCTGGTTTTACTTTTTTCAATAAATGCATTAGACTCTGTGGGACTGGTCCTATGAAAGAACTAAACAACCATTGTGTTAACAGAAATTTGCAGTGCAAAAATTAAATCACACTTTAGCAATATATTGCTCCTTTAGCAACAGACTCTACAATTCACTTTCCCTGAGAATGATTTTTTTTTAATTTGTTTATGGAACTTGTCTGCCTCTCATCTCATCCAAGGCAACTCTAAGTGGTTTACAGGCATGAAATAAAATATAGTGTAAAACATTAAAACAATAAACATTTCATGTCCAAAATATCTAAAGGCCTCACCCATTCCCTTCCTTAAAATATCTACCCAAATGCAAATAGAACATCCTGATATTAACTCCCCTGTCTGTCCTTTTCCAAAGATTTAGGTATGGAAATGGGAGCTGTTTGCCTCCCAAAGACTCCTGTTCCATTCTCAGCATTTTATTTATATGTTTATTTACTAACTCGCTTATTTGTATCCTGCCATTATTATTTTTACAAATGACTCAAGGTGGTGAACATGTCTAGCACACCTTCCTCCTCCTATTTTCCACATCACAGCAACTCTGCCAGGTGGGTTGGGCTGAGAATAGACTGGTCCAAAGTCACCCAGTTGCTCCCTCCCTCCCTATCTGCTTAATTATATTTTGATTGAATTTTAAATTTGTGATCACTATTTATTGTCTTATGGTTTTATACAGCATTTTATTTCAGGTCTGTAAGCTACCTAGATAAATAAATAAAGACATACATACATGCATACATACATACATACATGCCTAAGGTGGGACTAGAACTCACAGTCTCCCTCTTTATAGCTTGTGACTTAATCACTAGACTGAAGTGACTCTCACATTCCCAGTAATCTCATTCCCCAATGCCCCCCCCCCAATAATAAAGCTTCCCTTTCCCTCCCCAAAAATGGTTCGCCCTTTTTGTTGACATCAATCATTACCTGTGGCCTCCTAACACCTTTGAGAATATGGATCCTGAAATGCATCCTTTTATCTTGAAACATCCTGTAATCCAGTGGTTGCCAACCAATGGGCCGGGGACCACTGGTGGTCCACAAGAAAATATTGGTGGTCCACAGAGAAATGTCCCCCCCAAAGCACCCCCCCAAAGCAATTAATCCAGGCTGCGTGGGAACACAAGGCTGCGCCACCCACATGGCCCGTCCACCCGCTGGTCCCCACCCTTTGGCCGAGCACAAACCTTACCTTGAGTAGAGCCATGCCAGCTGGAACTGGAAGGTAAGACCAAAGGCAGGGGAGGGAAAATTGCCCGGGGTGGCTTGCTGATGTTGGTGGGAAAGTCGGTCCCATATTCCAGAGCTACAGTAGTCACAGGACTGGCCCTTTGGTCATTCCAGAGCAGCTTCTCCAGTCCATGGCAGGCCGGTGCACCTGGGTAGAGGAGCAGCTGTTCCGGAATGACCAAAGGGCCAGTCCTGTGACTACGGTAGCTCTGGAATATGGGACCGACTTTCCCACCAAAGTCAGCAAGCCACCGTTAGTCAAAATTCATATTAGTGGTCCGCAGGATTTAAAATTATGAGTTTGGTAGTCCCTGAGGTCCAAAAGGTTGCTGACCCCTGCTCTAATCCACCCCACAAGGCTTATTTCTTTCCTTTATTGCACTTGCTCTCAAGGAAACAATGATGGCACCCAACTACAACTGTTAGTGCATAATAATGCCTTCTATAGGGGAGCTGAAAAATTAATGAAGATGCCAGAGGTGGGTGAAAATAAGCTACCTATTTGTTTTTGTTTTTAAAAAATTGAAACAATCTTTGGGGGAAAAAGTCAAGTATAAGGAAGATGTCTGCAAATATGCTTCAATCCATAGACACACCTTGAAATCAAGTATTTCCAGAACAAAAGGGATAAGGTTAGGCAGAAAACATTTCCCATCCATTGGTTTTTGCAAGAAGAATCCAAAGGGGTTGCAGCTGCTGTCTTGCCTTATAAAATAGCAGAGGTCTGATGGTCTGTCTATAGTTATCTCTGGATCACAGAATAGAGCAGCAGCTAACAATATCCCAATTCTATAACCATTGAATTCATGCCATTGGAGCCTTTGACTCTGCATTGCTTTAGATCTTTCTTATGAGGTCATCGGGTTTTTTGCCCATTCGGTTCAGTAGCTCTCCTGTAAGCCTATTCTCTATAGATATTATCTTCTGCCCTTTCTGAGTACAAGAAAGAAAAGGCTCTGATGATCCAGCCACACTTTGGAGTGTGAGGTGGGGGATCTCCTTTAGTTCTGGGTTTTAATAAATGGGATTGGCAATGATAGTGCAGGGAACTATAATAATTACAACCACTACTGACCTTGGTCATTTGGCTCCTGCTGCTGCTGTTGGTTTCCCAGAGTTTGCCCAGTAGTAGCTGTATTGCTCTCTGCCTGGTTGCTGTGGATGAGGACTTGATCCTGTTGGGCTGAAAGAAGAACAAGCAGAAGGACAAGGTTGAGTAAACTGCCCAATGTGACTCATTCATTCAATACCCAACAATATTATGACCTGTTGGAGTCTTAGTGGACAACCAGTTAAATAAGAGTCAGCAGTGTCGGTGGCTGCCAAAAAAGCAATCCTAAGCAACGGGGTTGGACTAGATGACCTCCATTGTCCCTTCCAACTCTGTTATTCTATGAAGTATGAATAAGCTGCATTAACAGAGGGATACAATCAAGATCAAATGAGGTGCTAATACCACTCTATAAACCCTTAGTAAGACCACGCCTAGAGTACTGCACCCAGTTTTGTTCACCACATTATAGAAAAGATGTTGAGACTCTAGAAAAAGTGCAGAGAAGAGCAACCAGGATGATTTGGGGACTAGAGGCTAAAACATATGATGAATGGTTGCAGGAACTGGGCATGGCTAGTCTAATGAAAAGAAGGACCATGGGAGACATGATAGCAATTTTCCAATGCTTGAGGGGCTGCCCCAGAGAGGAAGGGGCCAAGCTATTTTCTAAAGCACCTGTAGGCCAGACAAGGAATAATGGACGGAAACTAAACAAGCAGCAATTCAACCTGGAAATAAGGAGAAATGTTCTGACAGTGAGAACAATCAATCAATGGAACAGAAGTTGCCTTCGGAGTTGTGGGAGCCATAACTGGAGGCTTTTAAGAAGAGATTGGAGTTTGTCAGAAATGGTGTAGGGTCTCCTGCTTGGGCAGGGGGTTGGACGAGATGACCTACAAGGCCTCTTCCAACTCTTTTAATCTATGCTCTTTGGTGCCCCTACGCTTCTCAGACTTAAATATCTATGCTAATTCTTGAGTCAGCTGTTCTGTCCAGCTAGGCCACATGCTGCCATATGCTACCAGGTTATTAGAGGATGTGAAATAGTTTTAGTTCTTACCAAAGAAGATTAAAACTACCTCCTCCAGTTTTCAATTGATTGTAATTTGCAGAAGTTGCAAGATTTTCTCTCCTTTATCATTAAAATCAAGTGGAGATTGGCATGTTTGACACTGGAGAATTAGAACATAGCGTTGAACAAGTCTGGTAATGATAATTACATAGCATCTTTTGCAGAGCTCCTGTGATCCTAAGGAAGAGTAATCTGGATAATTGGTTTCTCTTAAGTTGTATAACTTCTGATAGGTATCAGTCTGGTTTTCAGTATTGCCTTTTAGCTAAAACTGTAGTAATTTTTGTAATGCTGGTTGAAAATGGATAGAAGGTTTGGAAAATTATGAATATTTCATTAGGGAAAGGATCTTAGTGTTCCCTAATTTGACATAGTTGCAAACATAGCTGCAAATTGACCTAAGCCCCAGAGCTCACTGTAACAGCATTGCCAAAAAGGCATTAGGAGTTATTAGCCTTATTTTGCAAAGCTTCTTCTCCAGTAACATTGAATTGTTAACTAGGGCATAAAAAACCTTTGCCAGACCAATTCTTGAATACAGCTCGTCCATCTCGAACACACATTGTATATCTGATATTAACACAATTGAGCGGATTCTGAGGTATTTCTCGAGAAAAGTACTCCACTCCTCCACTCACAATAGAATTCCCTATGCCTCCAGGCTTGAAATTTTGGGCTTGGACAATCTGGAACTGCACTGCCTGCAGTCCGATCTAAGCATAGTTCACAAAATTGTCTGCTATAACATCTTGCCTGTCAACAACTTCTTCAGCTTCAATCACAATAACTACCGATATAAACTTAAGGTAATCCACTCCAAACTCAATTGCAGAAAATACAACTTCCGCAACAGAGTGCTCAACACCTGGAATGCCCTACCTGACTCCATTGTTACAGACTCAATCCCGCACAGCTCCAACCTCAAACTGTCTACCGTGGACCTCACCCCATTCCTAAGAGGTCCTTAAAGGGGACTTATGTTGTGGTTAGCCGGAAGCTGGTGCAGATGGCTGAGGAGAGCAAGGACTCAGATGAGGGGGCCAGGACCATTAGGGAGTAGACTGCTGCCTTCAGAGATTGTGGGGGCTGGCAGCAGGGATGAGGAGATTTCCAAGGAACCTGTGCCAAGTGTGCTTGCATGCAGGATTGCTCATAGGAAAGAGCAGCTACAACAGCATGAGTGACTCGGGAGTAAGGCTGCAAGGTAATGGCCCCTCCTTCAAGAAGATAAAAGCCAGCTGTGAAAGGAAAGTTCTTTGCAGAAGGCAAAGACATTTTGAAACTCCAGCCTCGTGGACATTCCAGTATCCTGAGTTTGTATTTGAAGATTTTTGTATTGCAAATTATTTCTTGTCTGTTATCTTTTGGCAAGTCTCGCACAGTTTGGCAAGGCTTGTGGTTATCACAGCTAATTATTTTGCAGAAGCATTACAAGGTTTCTGTTCCCTTTGGATTGTGTTTGATTTGTTGGAAAAGGGTGTGGGTCAGAACAACATGCATAAGCACACTAGCATGCCTACCGTCCCTGTCTTACGTTCCCATTTATCTGTATTTAGTCCCTTTGTTCATGTTTATGTTCATAGCTACTCTTGTTATCTTGTACATATTTGACAAATAAATAAAAAAAGATAGGATTTTGTGTTCAACTACAGCTATCTGGTTCTCTTTGGCCTGTTGCTAAAGTGTGTTTGTGTATGCATAACCATGTTGGGTAGAGAAGTTGCAACTCTTAAGCACAGGGCAACAGGAGGGATTGCATAGGGAGAGAAAGGGAAAAAATAACTGTAGAAGTCAGAGGATAATTAATTCAAAGTTCCTAAATATGATACATCAAAAAAATTCTAGTTATTCATGAGATATTGATATTGATTTGAAATCCCACAGGACATCATTACTGTACAAAGCTCAGTAAGCTTTACAGTGGAGTGGATAATTGTTTGGCTCTGCTACCAATTTTGGTAGATTCCCAAGGATCCTCATTCTTGCATCTAGGAAATGACATTGTTACGAAGAGCTGGGTGTTATTTTTTATTTATTTATTTAGTCAGAACTGGGGCTACTCCCCCACAAACATTTCTCTGAAATAAATCATTTCTGACTCTCCTGGATACACATGAGATCAGCTTTCACCTAAATTTAAAGTAAAGATAAATATCCAATGTGATTAAACTCTGAGTCAACTAGAGCCTTTCTGGAAAGATTCCGAGGCCCTTTGAGGTTGAAAACAACATTCCCTTCAAAGTTATCAGAACCCAATCTGAATCCTCCAGCTTCACAATTGATTCACTTCAGAAATCTGCATGGCCTTATGGACTTTAAGTTGCTCTGAGAGAAGTATCTCAAAATTTGAAACATGATGTCCCTTGATGGATGCCTTAACAAAAAAACAGATTTCTGTGCCAACACAACAGCGATACTGTGTCTGCATCATTAATCTGTTTCTTGTTCAAGTTAGCCATTTATTCATCATTACCCTGCATTTTTAGCAGCCTACCAAATTATAGGATGACAAATCCAAGTAGTGCCATTTGGGAGTCTCACGCTGCCTTCTCTGCCCTCGTTCCATGGGTGGCTTCTGCCCACTGACTTTGGTGTAGCAATTTGAACAACACATTTTTATGTCTTTTGCATGTTTCTCCTGTTCCTGGAAAATGTAAGTCTTTATCTGCTGATCCAATTCCAGGCCCAGATGGGTGTCATTTTTGTGCAGACCAATTTGTGAGTATATGATATAGTTAAATTAAATCTTTTTATTTATTTTATAAATAAAGTAGACCCTGCACCTGTGGGAATATGCTAGGGAGGAGAAGGAGGAGGAGGAGGAGGAGGAGTTTTATAAACAGGGTCATTTTTTTTCCTTTTTCTGATTTTGAATCCATTCCTACAGGCTACATCGAATAGGTCGATTCCAAAACCTGCAATGTGCACAGAAGCAGTTGAAAATGCCTCTGTAATACAATATCATTCTTTACTATTTAGATACCTCAATTACCAGACAATTTGGTATGTTGGGACTATTGCCATCCTGAAGAGTTTCTAAGTTGTTTCCATCGCAGTTATGAAAAGTGAACAGGCATTTGTCTTCTGGAGAGGCTACCATTTCCATCATTGCTAGCTACCAGGTATGATATTCCTTTTGTTGAAAACAGAAAGAAACTTGCATTGGTTTAAAAGAGACTTTTGTGGACAAGTAGCATTGATAACTGGGAGAATTTTATACCTGTGTGTTTAATGAGCACACCATGCAATTGAGGAGTCCCTACTACGATGCTCTTCCTTGGAATTTAATTAAAGGTGAGAAACCAGGCAGACTGTGGAATCCTGGAGAAAAATGGCTATACAGTGAGAGACAGAGCATTCCCACATGTTCCCCTTATGGCCACTTTATGACTAAGCAAGTGCAAACACTCTATCCTCCATTGAAAGGATTTCTAGAGCCAATTTTGTTTCATCAGATTGAATGAGAAATGGGTTAATGTATGCATATGATTTTCCCTGTCTGGCCCTCTTTAAATTGTCTTCGTGTTCATCCCAGGAAATGTTTGTATTTGTGTGTCTGTGCATCCTGCCATTGTATGCTGCCTATTGTTATAACTTTAGGCAGCTTACAGTATTTGTGTGTGTGTGTGTGTGTGTGTGTATACACATATACAAGCCCTGCTTTCTGCTACCAACAATCCTCATGTGAGTGAGGCTGACCAAAGATGCATTGTAATAGCCAAGCAATATCCTGTGGATGATTAATGAACTGTAGCAACTTTCCAGGGTTGGATCAAGTCTGGAATAAAATTCAAGGGAAAGGATTTTATTTTCTACCATTTTTATCCAGCAATTTTGGAAATGCATCATTTTACTTGTAAGTCTATTCTGAATCAGGCCGGGGGGAGTTTGCCTACTGCTATTAATATCACACTGTAGTCTTGATAAGAATGAGGAATAATTAAATCTATATTGAGACTTTACCCAAGGGACCTGCAAGAGAACCATATCATTTTTAATAAAGAGCGAACAAAATTGCACTCTAGGTACTTGAGAATACTCTGAACTGATCTCTTTA